CACACAAATAACACCAAAGGGCCTAATTAAGTGACTTGTATCTTCGTTAGAAATGGTGGTTGGTATTTTCTTATATGGACTTCCATTGTATAAATTATATAATAATGGAAAGCAGAAATGAGGTAACATTAACATTTATTTAAGCATGGTTTTAATAGGACAGGGCAATTTACCAGTATTTCGATGCATGCTTTGACCCTGGTAGTTAATTTTCTACAAAATTGTTCTGAGCTAATTTATACTTGACATCATTTGGATGTTTTGGCAGCTTCTCTGTTCTTATTATATCCATTTGCAAGTAGATCAATTACTTAGGTCCCTAGGTCTCTTGAATATATGATGAACAAATATAGAATTACCTATAAAACAATCAGACAAATACAGGTTTTATTTCTGCACAAGCTTAGAGGTTTGTGGCAACAGTGAGTGATTCTGTAAATGTGAAAAGGATTGAAATTAGGAGTCACTAGGCAATGGATGGCTGATAGAACAGGGTGAGGGAAAGTTGGGGGCCTCCATTTATATGAGTGTGAATACCCTGGTTTCTGCAAACTTCCATTTTCCTCCCCCTTTTTATTTTAATTTGCTCTATGTCAAAAAAACAAAAACAAAAAACAGGAACCCTTAAGGCCAGACATTATCCAACAATTGGAACACAAAAGTTGGTGACAAGAGTTTCGGATTCCATGTACTAGTTTCACTGATGACTCACTGGGAACTTGGTATAAGTCACCTAGCCTTGTGCTCCTTCAGTTCCTGCTGGATGTGTTCAAAAAAGGAGGATAATATTTGATCCTAAAAAATAATTAACTAGAGTGACTGTTTATATTTTCTAACAGGATATTTAATTATGTAAATTTTTGCCACTTTAATAATTATAATCTGCTTGTATGTCTTAATATTTACCCTTTGGCTAAATTCTAAACTTTTACATTAATAAACATATATTTTCTCTCTTTAACTTCATTTTCTAACTCTATGCCCCACGTACTTGGCATCCTTGTTTCGTGGATTTTTTTTTTACTGACAATATCTTTTCATACTGTTTCAGATTGGTAAATCTGTTTCTGCTTTTGCTGGATTCTGGATTCTAATCAAATCCTCTATATTTCATCTTATTTGGATTAGGATTCATTCCCTTAAAATTTACTGCCCACGTATTAGCCTGCTATTTTTCTTATATGGACAAGATCCATTTATAATAAAAACATAATTTATGTATAACTGAACTAGAAATAATGTATCCCATTTCACATAATTTTTGTTGATGGTCTTCGTCTGTCTTATTTGCATGTTAATTACTCCTCATTAATATATCTACCTTGTATATAAGCTGGGAGAGGAAAAATTTCACCATTCAACTTAAAATCAGAATCTTGCAGCTATGAATGCCCTTAGAGGTCATCTAGTTCAAGCCCCTCATTTTATAGATAAGAAAGTGTGTAAGTCACTTACTTATCTAAGGCCACACAACACTTAAGAGTTGGAGCTCCAGCCACTGTTGCTACTACTCAAGGTCTAATGAATACATATGCATGCTTTAAATGATGAGTTTGATTAAGGTCAACCCATGCTGGGTTCAGCCTCTAGGTAAGCTTATCTGTTTGTATTCAGATTCTGCACCTTTAATTCAGGCCAGCCAAAATGATAACCTTGTGAACCAGAAGTTCGAATGGAGAACTGGCACAGATCCATCCTCCCACTGAAAATACATATGCCACATAGATGCTGGATAGTCATCTTTGTTTCTGAGGACAACACATCACTTCTCAGTGGCAGCAGTATATTCCACATTCATTTGACATTTAATTTATATCCACTATGAAATAGACATTGCACTTTTTGTATCTAAGGTCCCTGCCCTCAGTGAACCTACAATCTTAGGATGAAGACAGGTGAAACAAATAACTGTGTCAAGAGTTGAATCCTCTAAGTGTTCACATTTTAAAAGCATCCAGTTAAAAATTTCCTTCTTTGCGTCACGGTTTCTTGCAAAACTAACCATTTTAATATATAGCCAACAAAGGAAGTTGTTAAGTGTATAATGGAAAGTCGGTTATTCATATTTGGCAAGGTTTATTTGGTCCATTACTGTCTCTCCTGTTAGGTATACTATTGTGATTAGGTGAAGCTTGTTGGAGGTGGGAAAGCTGAAGTTTTGGAGTGGGGTAGATAAAAATGAAGTAAATATTATTTTTATGTTTTAAATTAGTATTTTTATTAGTATTTATAAGTCATGTGTTCTTTGGGTAAAACATTCAAATTATACTTAAAGGTATAAAGGGCAAAGGGAACATTCTATTCTGGTATGTACACTTAACAGTTCTTTGTTCTTTTTAAATTTTTATTTATTTATTTGAGAGAGAGAGACCTTGCGCAAGTGGGGGAAGGGGCAGAGGGAGAGGGAGAGAGAGAGAATCTCAAGGGGATTTTGTGCTGAGTGCAGAGCCCTATGCAAGGCTCTGTCCCATGACCCTGACGTCATGGCCAGAGCTGAAATCAAGAATCAGACGCTTAAGCCTGAGCCACCCAGGCACCCCTTTGTTCTTTTTGAAGAGAAATTTTCTATGCACATAGAAACATATTTCCTCCATGTGTTTACTGCCTGAAGAAGTAAAACTGAGACATCGCCTTTGCTGGGCCAGAGTGGATGTGGTAGGGACTGAAGAAAAGGTAGGAATAAAGAGAATTTTAATTCTTGGCTAAATAAAAGGTTTACGTCTTCATCAAGTCTGCATTATTCTGGTATTCTCCTTAACGACCCAGATAGTAGGCAAATACTCTAACTCATCATTACTTCACAGGGAAAGGCTACGCACTGACAGATGAGACATTTAACCAAAGATGACACCACGCATCACAGCTCATGTGAAGTCAGAGTCAAGTGCCCAGAATTTCCAGTCCACTGCATAGTATTATTTTTTAAATATGTCTAAAATAAAAATATATTGCCTCCAAAAAAAAAAAGAAACATATTTCCTCCCACAAATGTATTAATGATTAATATGCTTTTTATTCACTTACCCTAGATATATTTACCCATCAATACATACTGATTTATCTCATTTAAAAAATGTTTACCTACTGTACCTTTGTATGGATATACCATGATTTACTCAGGCAGAAGTTGACCTTTTAAAAAGTTGGAAATATTAAATACTGGGGAGGTGAAATGGAGAATCTATATCTGTATGTGTATTTACCTATCTGATATAGTCACCGTCAGAGTGACTAGGATAGCCACAGACATATAGTAGTCAAAGTTTATTTTTAAAATTTTTTTAAAGCTTTTATTTATTTATTTGACAGGGAGAGAGAGCACAAGCAGGGGAAGAGGCAGGCAGAGGGCGAGGGAGAAGCAGGCTCCGTGCTGAGCAGAGAGCGGGATGGACCTGGGGCTCCCTTCCAAGACCCTGGGATCATGACCTGAGCCGAAAGCAGACACTTAACCGACTGAGCCACCCAGGCGCCCCGCGGTCAAAGTTTATTAAATTAGTAACTATTTTATCTTTGTTGACTGGTAGATAGAACCCATCAGTATGTTGATTGGTTGCTTTTTGTCTTTTCATTCATAGCTGCTGATAACTTTCTCCCTAACTAACCCGAGGAAGTGGTAAAAGTCAAACTTTTTCCTGAGGACATACTTGGTGCTGTCTGTAATATCTAAATATGGTCACTAGGACCCAACATCCTTGCATTTTAACTCATACGGACTTTCTTGATGAATGCCCCACCCTCCTTGGCTCCCCACTTGGCTTGACTTCCTGTCTTGTATCAGGAGCAATCTATCAAAGACCCTATAATGTGCTCATTACAGAGCAGAACAAATCGAAGTGTTCTACCTCACAATTTAAGGAAGGCAGGGGGCTAGTTTTTGTTTTAAGATAAAAATCTTTCAACAAAATACAAACTCCCCAAAACTTCCTTTAAACCAAACAGCATTGTCACACGCTCACAAGCTCTTATTACTTACACAGCCAGATGACTCAAGATTACTAAATTTCTATTCATAAGGAGTTTGCTGGCCCCAAATCAACATTCAGGCCCTCCCCCATCTTCCTTCTCTCTCCCCTGGGAGACTGACGTTTGGAGCGCTCGCTGCACCACATTTTAAGAGAATGAAGACGATGTGCGTTTGCTGCCCGAACTGTTTGTTCTGGGATTTTATAAAGCCTCCTCCAACCCCCTCCTTTTTAATTTTTTTTTTTTTTTTGTGGGGGTGCGGGGAGAGGAGGTCAGAATCTTTTTGGCCTCCAAGTCCTCCAGTTTGGAAATATATTCTAAAACTGGTAGAGACGAAGGACTTCTGTTTGCTATTTACTATGGAACTGGGTGTTCTATCAGAAATTAGCTACATCTACATTCCCATCAGTCACTCAGAGTGACACATGGGCGAAGGAAACAGCACAGCCCTGCCTTGGGGGGTTACAGTTGACGCTTCTACCCCTGCACTTGACTCCCCTAAAAAACGGGCCCACCTTTCCCACTGGATCTTTCCCTTCACGGTCTTTCTGGCAAAACTGGCGGTAAAAAAAGTCATCGCCAAACCTGAGCGGTCCCCCAGGCCTTTCCATTCCCCGGACTCGGAGGCAGTGGTGGCGGCCACCCCCTCCCCCCAACTCCTCGCTCTTTTCACGCGCGTTCGTGGCAAGGAGAAAACCACTCAGATCAATGACCGAGATCCAGGGCCTTCCCTTTGGGTGGCCTCCCCACGGCGTGAGACCGGGTCCCCGTCGCGGCCCGTTCCCAGCGCTGCCCGCTCGAGGCCCTCCGTCGGCCCCGGTCGAGGAGCGCGCGGCCGGGGCGGGGCGGGCCGGGCCGGGCCGGGAGAGGCGCGCGGGGCGGCCGGGAGGGGGCGCCGCGGGGGCGCGAGCCCGGCTGACAGGCCCGAAGAGGGCGCGACTCCGAGCCCGGGCGCCGAGGTCCCGCGGGGGTCCCGCGCCGGGTCCTTTGCCCAGGGAAGGCGGGGCGCAGGCGGCGGGCGGGGCGGCGAGGGCGGGGCGGGGGCGGTTCCGCGCCGCGGCTCTTTCTCCCGAAGGCCCGAAACTCGGGGCTGAGAACTTCTCCCCGCCTGTGCCCCGTGCACTCGGCGACCCCCGGCTCCCGCACCCCGTTCCCAGCCCGCGCCGCCCCGCCGCCGGCCGCCCGCCGCGCCGCTCTCGGTTACAAAGGAGGGAAAATGAGCCGGGCGGCGGCGCGGCACGGGGCTACCGCGGCGGCGGCGATGGCGGCCGCCCCCGGCACCACGTAGAACGCCCCCGCCCGCGCAGCCGCGGCCCAGGCCCGAGCGGAGCCTGCAGCTCGCCGCTCGCCTCCCGAGCCCAGCGCGTCGCCTCCCGGCCGGAGGAGGAGGAGGTGGTGGGAGAGGAGGAGGAGGAGGCGGCGGAGGCGGCGCCGCCTTCTTGCCGCGCGCCCTCGCCGTTGTCTGCGCTCCGCTCTGGACCAGTTTGGGGAAGTTGCCGGAGCCCAGTGTCGCCCAGATGTGCGACCTCATTGAGCCGCAGCCGGCCGAGAAGATCGGCAAGATGAAGAAGTTGCGGAGAACTTTGTCGGAGAGTTTCAGCCGCATCGGTGAGTGGCGCGCTGCCCCGGGCGCCCGGCCGGTCGCCCCCTCGTCTGCTCCTCCTCCCCGCGCTTCTGGCACCACCCATGCAGCGGCCACCCGCGGCTGGCGTGGGTGCGCTGCGAGCGGACGGTGGACCGAACAGTGCCCGGACCTGGGGGGAGGGCGACAGTGGAAAGGAGAGACACCCCTGTCCCTCAGGATCTGGGGGTTCGTTTGTGGATGATCTTAAGCCTACAGTTTGGGTTCCGTGTCCTCGCCACGAGCGCTCGGGCTTTCGCGCCCGCGGTGCACAGGCGATGGGACGCCCCGGGCCCCGCTGCGCAACCGGCTGCGCGGCCGCCTGGGTCACTTGTTATTTTTATTTATTTATTATTTATTGCGTGCAGGCTTTGCTCTGGGGTGTTTAGTAAATAACTTAGCTTTGGAAATTGGTGAGACGTTGAGTTGTGCCTTGGTATTGTTTAAGACATCCAACCTAAAGGGAACTGGGACAGATACCTTGGGACCTTTTGTTCGGTACTTCGGGTCTTCGAAAGCGAGATTTGGCTGTTCCGTCCCGAGCTCTCTGAATCTTTCCATTGCGGCAAATAAAGGCGCGCTGTGAACTTATCTGAACATTTAGGAATGAGTCTCCCGAACTTCTCACATTTACTAGAGCTCGGGAACTATTGTCTTTAAACCGGCCAACCAACCAACTGATGTACAAATAAAAACTGACTGAGAAATGTTTAGGACATTTAAGAATAAATCCATGTCACAGACTGTAACAGGGTGACAACAGTATTGTGTGGAATGGGTTTGTTAGCTTTTTAGGGTTGGCCATAGAAAGCCCCTTTTAACCTTAAGACGGTAGCGGCTTCCTCTAACATAACTTTCATTTATGTAGGTAACTGTTTTCAGCAAGAGAATCATACAAACACTAAAAATAACCCCTCAGATTCCCTTAGAAGCCTTCTAGCCTTTGTTTCACTTGTTTAACATGTCATCCATGTTAATGAACGTGTTAATGGAAATTAAGCATAAGGTACTTAATTCCTTAAAATAAACCCCTGGGGTGCATATGAGTGTTGTAGTCATCCTTCCATCCCTTCCTTTAAAAATCATTTTATAAGTGCACTCTAAAATACGCAAACTTTGTTCAAGCAAGAGAAAATATGGATCAAAATTTAGCCTAGTTTTCTTTGTTGTCTTTAACTTAAAATTTCCTATTGGTATACAAAATCTCTCCCAAAATGGCTGTAAAGTTATGGTGTGAAACCAATATTTAATCCTGGTTTTACTTATTACATGTATTGGATATTTGCAGTTTCACTTTTACTTAGGGATGCATATGAAGAGTTCCTACATGCAAATGAAGATTGAAGCCAAGAAGAATGTGAGAGAGCAAGGTGTTGAGTTGGTGTGCATTTTTAAGGAGAGTGTTCTGCCCGGGACCCAAACCATCTCAGAGGCGGGTTCTGGAGTCCATTAAGCCCTGTTCTAAAACACATTAACTGTATATTTACTAATGCTAATGACTCTGTTGGAGCCCTTCCAGTTTTGTGTTAAATAATTCATTGCAGTTGAATCTCAGTAAGAAACCAAGGACATTAATACAAAAATTCCTTATGTTTAAGCAATTTCAAGATTTTGATCTCCAATCAGTAAAATTTGGATTAACTACAGTGCTGGCAAGTGTGGGGTATTACAGTTAATTGGATTTTCTAGCTTACTGAGAGTTAGTGATGTGAAACTCCTTTTGATTCCAACACTTCTAAAATATGTTCTAAGATATAGTAGATTTTACTTCCTCCCTTTCAGAAACAGTACAGTGCAGTGAACATAACTGATTATTTCTTGTATTGATGGAGGGTCATGATTCTGAATACTAACTCTCATTCTGGAATACTGTAAAAGGAGATAAAGAGGTTTACGTGGTTATGCTTGTATATAGCAAACCCAAGACATGCACTGGAAATGGGATTACAGAAAAATGCATCTTTGTTATCTATGTATTTTCTTAATGTTTTATTAGCAAAATTACAAAGCAATAAAATCAATTTGATTATGTAAAGATTTTAAGGTGCTTGAGGCTATGGAATGGAGTTTTTACTATGGAATTATATAGTGCACAGATTCAGGATGTGGGCTGTGTGTGTCAGACCACTGGGATTTCCCATCTTGCCACTTGTAGCTATGTGACCTTGGACAGGTCCCTCCACTTCTGAGCTTCAGTTTTTCATGTACAACTCAGTTTTGTTATTGGCACTTAGTGAAATAACGCATATGATGTCCTGTATGGTACATAGTGCAGACTCCATAAATATTCATAATATGTTATTATCGTTATTGGTGATTACATCATATTGACATAATTGATCTTCTAGTGGGAAGCAAGAGAAGTGAGGGGAAGAAGTGGCTACTGACTTCACAGTATAAAAACAGGATGGGTTTTGGAGTTAGTCTGGTCTGGGTTTGAACCCTGTTTTCCCAGCTTGCTGTGTGCCTTGGGCAACTAGCAGAATACCCCTAAACTCCAGAGTCCACAGGTATAAATTTTCTCAAGGTTGTTGTGAAGATTAAATCAGGTACGACACATAAAATATCTAGTGCAGTATCTGTTACATGTGAAGAACAGTACTGGGGGCTGATACTCTTCCTTCCCATTTCTCTGTTTATCCCCATCTTCCTCCTCTCTTCATTGGTACTTCATGAGGAGATCAAAGAGCGAATGGTTTATTCTTGTTGAATAATACAACATCTCAACATTTTCATTCCCTTTAACCAGTCTACAATGGCTTTTGAAATAAACATACTGACTTAATTTTGCTTTTTTAGGATGATTCAAAAGTGTAGCTTGTTATATGGCAAAAGATACAGTATCGTTGTTTAGCCATGAGAAATTAATCATTGATAGAAAATGAGGACAACGTTTGAAAGTATGTGATATTCAGTGTTTATTATTAACGGTTTTGACTATATAAAAGTGGTAATGCTAATGTTTAATTTATTCACACTTGAGTGATCATGTCAACTTTGTCACTACCCATCCCAAATACAGCTGATCTGAAATTACTATGTTATATAAGGTCTAATAAAACACATTTGCTTTCAAGCCATAGCACTCTAATTTATGACATCTGCCAGAGAGTGACTATAACACAGTTACAGTTCTTTTATAAGATGGGTGTAATTGAATTTCAAAGGCAGTCACTGATTTCAGTGGTGAGTATTTATCGTTTTCTGCTAAATAGTGTCAGTGTGTTCACTTATTTAGGAACTACTGTAGTTGTCTTATGTTTTTTGTTGTTGTTTGTTTTGTTGTTTGGTTTTTTTTTTGGTTAGCATAAAAAACGACAAATGGGAACTTAGTTGTTAAAAAAGTTATATTAAGGGCTCCTGGGTGGCTCAGTCGTTGGGTGTCTGCCTTCAGCTCAGGTCATGATCCCAGGGTCCTGGGATCCAGCCCTACATCGGGCTCCCCGCTCCACGGGAAGCCTGCTTCTCCCCCTCCCACTCTCCCTGCTTGTGTTCCCTCTCTCACTGTGTCTCTCTCTGTCAAATAAACAAAATCTTTAAAAAAAATAAAAAATAAATAAAAAGGTTATATTAAAATCCTTTTCCTCTTTCCTTTCCTTCTTTCTTTTAATTTTTAAATGATAGCCTAGGAGGAGGAAGGCTTTCTGTAATATCTGGTGTAAGAATAAGGTCAAACTGGCATTTCTTCATATTCATTTGAGTGCATTTCTTCACACTTATTTGGATTAACTTGTAGAGAAAGGAAGTTTGTACTCTGTGATATTGGAGATGAACCCCATGTGTACCATTCCTTTAAAAGATGTAGTTTGTGAGAGAACTGAATGAAAGGAAGAGGCTATGGTTACATTGAATTTTGGGGTTTGTTACCTTGTGCTGTAAGTGTGTAATGTAGGGTCCAGCTGTCATGTGATAAGTCCATTCTTAAGGGTAAAGGTTCAGGCACAGAATTTAAATATAGTACTAATGTTCTCTCCCCATGTAGTTTCAGAAGATTTTAATTTGCCAACTGTGAAATGGAATTTATATCTATGATCCTTTCATAAGAGAAAATGGTGTATGGTTTTCATATCCCAAAACTTTAGTGTGTCTCAAAATATAAGAGGCTATTGTTTTGCCATTGAGGTAGAACTCATTAATTTAACAAATAATTATTGAGTACGTCATATGTGCTAGATACTGTGCTGACATTGAGATTCAGCGGCCGCTCTTACCAGTCCTCAAGGACTTTAAGAGGATACAGGCCAATGAATGGGCACTGACAATATAGAGTGACAAATTTTACCAGGAAGATTAACATAATTTGCTGTTGGAGAACATACGAAGGACACCACTTTAGTCTTGGTGGGATCATGGAAAGCTTTCTGGAGGAAGCAGTGTCTGAGTAGAGGACTAAATAGGATATCTGAATATCTTAAATGATTTAATATATACCACCTTGTTAACCCATAAAAATGTAATATGCTCACTATTCCAAGATATCTTCGAAGACAATTGTGAGTTTACATTTACATGAATGATTAATGACAATCAGGGAATGTAATCAATAATGAGATGTTGTGTGCTTGTTTAGGTCAGAGTTTATTCATCAATGACCTGATAAATATTTGGCAGAGACATCTTTAATTGGCCTTTGTTGTTACTGTTAACTGCTGTTCAGGGCAAGGATTCAATATTTATAAGTAACTGTATAAAGCGTCAGTCTACCAATAAAGGGTTTCAACGAAGCCATAGCTTTTTGGGGGTCTTAAAATGTTCTCCCCTCTGGTATCTTGGGCTTGAGAATAGAATGCGGGGGAGAGAATCTAGCTTCCTGCTACTTATATTTTAGAAAGCACAGCTGCAGTTCCTTTTCTGTTTCTTCCTTCTCTTTCTGTCTTCAGACCCACCTCTTTATCCAGGAGGCAAGAAAGAAAGAGCCCCGTCCAGATGTCAGAGACATTTTAGTTTTTAGCTTTCTCTCAGCTGGAGGGTCTTCATTCTGTTGGCAATTACCCGAAGGATAGTATCAAGTGTAGTTCCTATTTGATGCTTTGCTTAAGGCAACCCATGGCTAAATTTTGGAACTTTATCATGAACTATAGGAAGTTTGTGCTGTGAATTATAAGTTTGGTGCTTTAGCTTTGCATCTTGCATGACAGCCACATAATTTTTCATTCATCTTTGTTAAATGAGCTAGGTATGAGGCTATACAGTGATTGTATTTGAAATCACTGATCTAATCATTTCTTATTCCAAAAAAAACCACTTTTTTTTTTTTTAGATGGGACAACTTGCCTATATTTATGTAGGTCATTAATATTTTATCTAGGAATCACTACAGTATGTTGATTAGAGGACATGCCTTAGGTTTGAGGGAAGTGAGGGTTGTAGTTCAGTAACATGGTTGGTTGATATTTAAAGAAAGCCTTCCAGATTAGAAGTTTTACATTCTAAGTTAAAATATAGCAATTAAAGATCATCTAGGCTCTTAGCTTTCTCGATAGCTTTCTATCGAAATAGCTTATTTTGGATTTAATGTAAGTTAAAGCAAATACATGATAAAATGTGTGTAAGTAATTAAATGCAAGATAAGCCATTTCAGACTAGGAGAAAGGGCTGTTTTTTAACTTTTCACTCAGAAGAAGTTGTCTTCCAATAAAGCAAGTAGAGAAATTTATTACAGATCAGTAATTTATTACAGATCAGTTTCTTAGGCAAAAAAGAGAAGAACTAAGAATTAAACTTTCAAAAACATTTTATCCCCCTCAATCTGCCCTCATCCACCTTAACTCTCCACAACCTCATCTATAGTAGGAAACAGAAAATATCCTTTTCAAGATTGCTAGACTGTATAGTATAGGCTCTGAAATGATAGCTTCAGGGCGCCTGGGTGGCTCAGTTGGTTAAGCGACTGCCTTCGGCTCAGGTCATGATCCTGGAGTCCCTGGATTGAGTCCCGCATCGGGCTCCCTGCTCGGCAGCGAGCTTGCTTCTTCCTCTGACCCTCCCCCCTCTCATGTGCTCTCTCTCTCTCATTCTGTCTCAAATAAATAAATAAAATCTTAAAAAAAAAAAAAAGAAAGAAATGATAGCTTCAGTTTAAGCACATGACTTCTCTCAGAGCTTAATTGCCAACATAATTTGCTTTCCATTGCTTTTGTCAGAACATAGCTTTCCAAGTAAGAGCGACACAAGTGCTTCTATCCTGACTAGAACTGTCTAGTATAGACCAGTAAACACCTATGCACAATTCTATAAATTGGAAACATTTCTCCAATTAGTGGTTTCAGCCAAATTAATTCCTTTGTGCATTCTCCTTAATATGAAACATTCTAAGTAATTGTAGGATTTAAGGAACTAGGGTGTTTGCCAACAATGCATGAAATACTTCTCTTTCTCTTCAGAGTAATAAAATTCCAGTTCTGAAGCTGCATATTTAAATAAATTTTAAGTATTTGCTAACTCCTATAAAATATTCTGAATGTATTGTTTCCTTTCGTGATACTTTGTTATAAAATGGATCATGATGAAATGCTTGAATTATGTCTCTGCAGTGCTTATTTTACATGCTTAGTCTTTTCTCACCGTATTTAAACTTCCCTCGGCATGAAAATCTCATTCAGGGCACTGTGCAGAGGGGGTGTCATCCTGACAATTGGTTTGGGAGGACCACACACTGTGCCCAATGATATATGCTCAAAACCCAGGAGTTGAGGGGGAAATTTCTTTAAGATTACTTTTTGATGCTTTCATACGTTCATTAAAACGTTTTTCTACTAAAGAAGAGATAGGGGAAAGATATGCATACTTCTTTTCCATACTTGGGAGGATCGTCCATTTACATATTTATGAAAGTGTTTCACAAAGATGCATGCTGTGCAATTCTCTGTCTCATTTGCAGCTTTCCTATTTGTATCGTAACATTGTTATTCAGGTTGGGGTACAGTTTTACTTTCTGAAATGAAAACACCATACTGCTTTGTTTTCCTTCTGTTTTCTAGAACTTAGATGCTTAGCCTCTTTGAGATGTTTCACAATAACTGTTTCCTTTCCCTTTTTATTTTATAGCTTTGAAGAAAGACGACACCACCTTTGATGAGGTAGGTTAAATTTCTTTATCTAATGTTAGATGTATTTAATTACCGCCAGGTACAGTTAATAGGTGCCAACTTCACACTTAGAAAAAAAATGCCTTAAAAAAAAGATGACATCTCTCTAGTTACATTATTTTCAGTTTTAAGTAATCATTCGAAGGAGTTTTGGTAGCAATCAACATAAATATGTCTTTTTAAATGAATAAAGGATACCCGCTGGCCTTTGTATTGCTGCTTTCTTAATGGTGGTGGAGCTGGTGAAGCCCAGTGTGAGGTGGATGCTTAGGGCAAGTCTGGAGTTGTTGGGGAGTTGGGCATCACGGCTCCCTGCAGCCCTCCTCTGACTCCGGGTGTGATGTGATGTTGACGCCACATATTGTCTGTGAGACTCCCAGAGGAGAAGCTGACTTTTCCTGTTCTTGTTTTTCTATTCTTTGTATATCAGATCTGTGTTTATCTACTTGCTACAAAGTAGCAAAAAAAAAGTCTGTTCCAGTAAGGCCGAGGGTTCCTATGTAATTAATAGCATTCTGAATGTGATTTTTAAATTGTAGTCTTTCCTGAGTTTTGTGTAGTATCAGTGGGAATCACAAGAGATACAATGTGTTTACAAAATACTCTCAAGAGAGCTATAGAGTGAAGTGTTTCATTGTCACCATCCAAAGCCACAGTTACTGATCTGTGTTATAAACTGGGCCACGTGTGTCTATATATTGGGAGTTTATATGTGAACACAGAGGTATACACACAACGTGCTTATCCTGCAGCCTAATGGAGCCTAGATTAGTTTGGTTGTGGTTGTGATTTTTCAGTTGCAGATTCTATGAAATATGCTACCTGTCGTCCCTCTGTGTAGTGCTTCAGAGAAGTGAGGACATTTGTGCTCAGGGAAAGGCCCCTTGACCATGTGGTTGGCCGTGGTGCAGGGCAGGACCACACAGGGAGAGCCTGCTCCAGATCGGGATTTTGGATGGGGCCAGTGACGTTTGGTTCTCACGGTCTGCTGCTTCGTCGTTTGCACCTGTTCTTTTTTTCCTGGCACCCAACTCTGTGGAGCTATGTGTCCCTGGACTCCAAAGCAAGTTCCCCTACCAGGAGTCCTGAAACATCCTGTAAAACTTAGTTATTTTAGACCTGAAGCAGTAGAGGACATTTTCTTCCTCATCTGTAGTAGGTAATAATGATGTTCACCTCTAAACCTGTATTTCTGGAATGCCTGCAGTGTTACTGAGATGCTTCTAGGAGAGTATTTTCTTCTCAGAAGAAATCAGTGTGAGAATATTGGACACCTTTTCTCTCTTTGTAAAGAAAAGTCTCCCCTCTAATTATGGAGGTAATTTAAGCTTACATAAAAAAGAAAAATAAGGAAAAAGAGAAAGAAAAATCTCCCAATCCTATTATCTAACTACAACCACTGTTGAATGTTCTTGTTTCTTTCTCCTTGTTCAGAAACCAAAAAAAAAAAAAAAAAAAAAAGCCATATATTGCATCCTGCTTTTTTCCTTATAAAAGCAATAATGTGGTATTTTCCCATGTTTTTACAGAGGACTCCTAATCATTATTAGGGATTTGAAAAACCTCCTTTTTAGTTTAAATACCATTGTTAATGATTGTATGTTATTTTGTTATGTGGCTGTGAGATTAGCTTTCACAAAAACCTGAGGCTGGAACCTAGATGAAAGTTAAGGATATATCAAGCCAATAACAACCCACCCTCCTTTACCCGGAAATCTGCACAAAGGTCTGGATTTTGTCATTTGGGGCAAAATTATCCTTAGCTTTTACAAAGTGTTTTCCTTCCTCTGCACCGCAAGAGATTGGTTAAAAACCTCAAATTAGTAAATTGCAGAATGGTACACCTGGAAGAGATGTTGGAAATCACGTGACCAACTTTATCATTTCACTGATGAAGAAATTGAGGTGCAGAGGGGCCAGGGAATTTCCAGTTAATTATGGGAAGTGCCAGGGTCAGGCACCTAGGAGACAGCAGTAGTAAAGTCATGCCTGGGTGTAAACCCGAACTTGACTACCCTTTCAGGGGCAATTGACTTACTTTTTCCAAACCTTTTATCAATTAGAGATACTTATCTCCCTCCTAAGATTGTTCTGAAGATTAAATAAGCTATATATGTAAAGGTAACAGGTAGTGATGGGCACATAGTAAGTGTCTCAGTTGGCATTGTCATTGTCTTTGTCGTTATTATCACCATCATCATCATCATCATCATCTCTTTACCGACGTTCTCACCATGACATCACCTTCTGTATTTGGAAGGGCTACAAGGAGGAAGGAAAGATTTAGTTCAAAATTAAGAATTAGAGTTATAAAGAGAGTTACTTTCGGATACTCCTCTAAAATTCAGCTTTGTAATCCTCGGGTGTCTTGCACGTGGTTAACATTCAATAAATATATCTGTTGAATATGAGTAAATATCTGTTGCTAATAAGGAAAGAGAGTGTTGAACCAAATGTCAGTGTGGATTCTCCTTTGCCAGTTTCTAGCCATTCAGTTTTCTTGTTTGTAAAACCAGTCAGGTAGATAGATGATCATCCTCAAGTTGCTTTCTATCTTTAAATGTAGGCTGAAATCTTACGAATTTACAATTTTACTAAGATCAGAAAAGAGCACTGCATCTGTGATTAAATAAACAGAAAATCACCAAGTTGTTCAATGACCGTCTTCAAACTACAGTGTTAGAAGTTTTCTTGAACTCATTTCTTGGTCTTCTTTTCCTCTTGTAGTCTGTTGGAATTCAGGTAAGATTTGACTCTTCAAACGTGGGGGCTGGGTAAGCTTCTTAGATACACATCAAGGTGTGGCAACTCTCTTCTTACTCAGTATTTATGAGGGTGGAGGGCTACTTAGCTCGAGGCTAGAGTGTAGTTGCTACTCCCTGATTGCTACAGAGGATTTCTCTAGGGTTTGTGTAAATGTTTGACCTTGAGGAGAGGAGAAAAAGAAATGTGGACCTATTTGAAAGACCTATTTATTCATTCATTCTTAAATAGGCTAAAATACCATGACTGCAAATTTTTATAAGCATCCTGGAATTATATTCAGGAACAGTGTGCTAATGGTTGTTGTAGAGAGAGAATGAGGCACTTTGGAAGTTAAGTATGGAGGGATGTTTACAATAGGCAATTTTGTTGGAGTAGGAAATTTTGTTGAAGCCCATCATATTTGGGGAGAGGATGACCTTTTGGCCTTCATTCATTGTGTATCTGGGCCCTGATTAAAATAGGAAGCATTTTATGCTCTGCGGGTTTAATCTGTATATTTGATGTGGATAGACTAACCATTTATAAGGATATCAGGATATCCTTATATAAAGTTGCAGAACTTTCTAAATTCTTTCTCACCTTTTTGTCCCCTAAGTAGATGTCGTAGGCCATGTCCCCTGAGTGGTCCCATTTTCCCTGTGCCAGTGAACAATACTATACTATGACTTCAAGGAAGGCTTTGAATCTTATTTTTTATTTAGTGATTTGTTTTAAAATGAGACCTAAAGTACATTGGGGAGGGTATGTGCTATGGTGAGCACTGTGAATTGTGTAAGACTGATGAATCGCGGACCTGTACTTCTGAAACAAATAATACATTATATGTTAAAAAAAAAAAAAGAAGATAGTAGGAAGGGAGAAATGAAGGGGGAGAAATCGGAGGGGGAGATGAACCATGAGAGACTATGGACTCTGAGAAACAAACTGAGGGTTTTAGAGGGGAAGGGGTGGGGGATGGATTAACCCAGTGATGGGTATTAAGGAGGGCACGTATTGCATGGAGCACTGGGTGTTATATGCAAACAATGGATCAAAAACTTAATGATGTAATGTATGGTGACTAACATAATAAAATTAATAAAAAATGAAAATAAAAAAATAAAATGAGACCTGAAGTATAAAAGGTCAGAAAATACAGTTAATCTCTTCCAATGTAAAAGTACTTCGCCTAAAACTTTCCAAACTTTGAAAGTAAAAAGTTCTGAGTAAGTATAAACATGTGTATAGAAAGAGTTGGAAATGTCTAAAGCCACAACAATTTAGGAATTGTTCTTGTGTGTAAATGAAAAAGGTTAAATTGTGTCGTTTTTGTTCTGCTTCATGCCTTTGTGTTATTTTAGCTCTGATGAATTGCCAGAACAAAGTGTTGACTATGCTTGGCTCTTTAGTGAGACATAAAAAATTCTAGTGATTGAAATAAACCTTTGAAAATACAAAGAGTTTTGTTTGTTTATCATATATAATCCAGATAATTAAGCACTTATTTGTTTGGAAAAAAATGAATGGTCACTTACAGGTTTTCTAATTCTTCTGTGCTCTGGTCAGTTGTTCCTTGTTTGCAAAGTAGAAGGGGCTGCCAACACAGGTTTTGGCATTTTCCAGCTATTTTATTTCTTGTATCCTAAGGAAATGTGTACAGAGCGTCTGAAATGTCTTAACATTTTTACATTTGATCCTTAACTTCCTCAAGTACATTTTTATAGGTTAACTTGCTTCTTCTCTACTTAATATAGTAATTTTGTGCGCTAGATGGGGGTAGTATGCCTTGATCTCTGCTTCTAGTCCAAGCCCTCTTTGTAATTATGTATAAAGATACACTGGAGAAGATAGATTTCCAGTAGTGATTTTTCTGAGAACCCGATTCTCGGAATCAGGTACAAATATGATTTGGGGATACCCCTGGGCATTATGTTCCCTGCACCGTGGGTGGTGGGAGCTGTTGCCGTTTTTTCTAGCACCTAACTGCTGTTACCATCTCAGGCCTCGGAGTCTGTGAGTAGCATATAGATTGTATACAGCCGTCTAGCTTCCGACTTCCCAGACTGCCTCATGGAAAATACGAAATCCCAGTAACAGTCTTTCCCTGTTAGCTTCTTCATGCTTTCTTTTCTTTGCTGGCTCCCTGTTTCCAGATGACTCCTTCTCCACCTGCCCTGTCCCCTTTTTCAGCCTGCAACCCATCCCCCTCCTCTGTTTCCTTCTCTCTTCGTTCATTGTACATCACT